TGTGGTTTCGAGACTTCTGTCTCTTTCGACCAAGTGTAAAAGTTTAGTTACAATTCATGAATTGAAGAGAAAAATAATGAAGAATGGAGTTTGGAGGCTTTCTATACGTTCTGGTTCCATTCTAGGATTTTAAAATATGTATTTATAGTTGTTTTCATAGGTTGTTGACTTAAATTCGGAAACCAAAATTCGCATCCCGAAAAACACCTATGCGACGTCATAGAAGGAGAAGTTACGGTCGCATATAAAACTTGAAACTGACCCTGGAGTTCCTGGCAAGTGTTCATGCACTGGAGATATCAAAATCTTGCCAAAGGGCCCCTTGTTTTCTTGTTTTTTCTTACAATATAATGTATACATGAAGGCATTAAATGCAAGCGTTCAACAAATATGTAAACAACTCATGAGAATTATAATTTATTATGAATACACGTACTTTAATTGATGTGACTTAAAAACTTAGTGTCGTAGAGTTCTACACTAGGGCTAAAAGTGGTCACTCCTCTAGTGATAGCTGCAAACAATATCACATTTCTTTTTGTCGAATGAGATGAAGAAATTTTTTCTTACGTTGCCCTTCGTACATGACATCCTCCCGTACCTCGTACATTGTCCCAGAGTGCCCATCCAAAGTAGATATGATATCGCAGTAAACCTTCCCCGTGAACTCATCCTGAGCTTCCTTTAATTTTGAGAATGTGTAAACTGTTTAAACTGCTGCTCCATTTTGTATTGTGTTTCACACGGTAACATTTGCGAAAATGACTTGAAATCCGCTTGGAACTCCTTCTCAACTTTATTACGCAATGCTCATTCATACTGTTTGATGAACTGTTCAATGATGTCTTGGAATGCACATACCCATCGAAAAATGCATTCATACTTTTACTTCTTTGTATTGTTGACATCCCTGCCCAGAAACTAGTCTTCAGAAAACAAGGAACCCAACGGTCTCTGTTCTCATATAGTCCAGATAACCAATCATTATCATACAACACATAAGTAATAATGAAAGTAGCCCAGCCTTCTTTAAATTCTTGAACAAACTGCGAATCATAAACCAAAACGTGTATTTCCTGAAAAATCGATGCCTTATCATTGTGGTATCTAAACTTCTCAGGCAACTTCTTCAGAATGTGCCACAAACACCATTTATACCTTGTGTTTGGAAAAGTGAAATGAATTGTATTTTGCATTGCCCTATCTTGCTCGGTAATTATTCCAAGCAGTACTTTCCCGTGCATACACTGAAGCCATGTTCTGAACGACCACACAAAAGTATCTGTGTCTTCATTCGATACCAAACCACAACCAAGTAGTGTTAATTGTCCGTGATGATTTACGCCAACAGAAGGGGAAAAATTCATGTCATACTTGTTTATCAGGTAAGTGGTATCAAATGTAACAACATCGTCGAACTCCTTATACGCTTGCCTACAACGATTATTTACCCAAAATACATTCCTCAACCGTGAATCTTCTTCTAAACCCATGCTGAAATAAAATCTGGAGCACTGTACTTGCATATTTGAAAAGTATGACTGTATTGCTGTGGCATCTCCTTCTCCAAGTCTTAATCATCTCACTTTTTCAATGTAATTTCGACAATCATTTTCCACGCAACTCATGTTCTCATAATCACCCGCTTCCACGACAGCAGAATTGTAACTTTTATGCAATGAAATTCCTGCCAAATCATTCACTTGTAGCTTGCGTTTCACACGTGCGCTTACCTCTCTGTTGCATCGAAGTAACCTCAACTTCGACGGGCTAGTTTCATGATTGTGGTCGAGGTGGACCGTGTTAATTTTCCAGGCTCTATATATATCTGCAGATGCAGAGATTCTAGCTTTACAATCCATCTAAATTGTCGGTTGTGGCTTCAAATAATCACTAGTATTACCAAGTCTTCGACCTTCACGGCTACATATGAGTGTTACATATCTCAATTCTCAATCGTCTCCCCTTTTCGAGTTTCTTTTCTTAACAGGAAAACCAACGGCATACGCATATTTCTTGTACATGTCAAACATGTCTTTCAAATCTTTAAACTGCATACATACATGAGGTACAATCACACCGTCTCCTACTGAGGTTTGACCTTCTACTATGTTAACGGAGTCTATCCCGTTCTCATCATCCGATTCCACCAAAACATCATTATGCTCGTTTAGCACTTCATCCATAATTTCTTCGGTTGCAATAACATAATCAGTCGCGTTTAGTAATACAGTAACTAACAATACGATACATAGTTTCAACATTATTCTCGAACACGTTCTTTACCAAAAAAAAAAAAAGTTTCTGCTATGTTACTGGGGGAAAAAAGGAATTAAGAGCTTGATGGTGACAGATAGGATTATTCAATAGTGTGATGTCCCAGACAGCTAGTTCCTCTCCTACTTATGAGTTCCACATATAACTTTCCCAGCACTCCACCGGCAAATTTTTTGACTTTCACCTACATTATCTGAACAAAGAACCGAGAATAGAACTTTAGTTTATCTTACCATCAGATACTCGGTCTTGGATTACGAATGAGGCTGGTTTTATTCTCGCATTCTCTAAAAACTAATTCCGTATAGATTAAAAACTAATCTTGTCCGTTCGAAGAAGAAGATTGAAGAAGAATAAACAGAACATACATTTACAAATAGGGAAATTTGCAATTTAGTGTTTGAAGCTCTCAAAATAAATATCATCAATTAATGAAAAACATATTCATCTAGGAAATAACGTATGTTTTCTTCTTTTCGCCGGAGCGATATCTCGAAATAATCAAATGATGGTTCGCAAAAGAATTTGGGGAAAAATTCTTCTCTTCGCCGGAGATGTGTCACGCTTACTAAATGGGTTCTAAGATTTTTCGATTTGGGGAACAATTTTAGTGAATGATGCTTAATTGTTGTTCATGGGATTTTCTGTTGTGTTCTCCATTTTTTGCTTTCCTTCAAAACCATTCACAACCACTCACGTGTATTTCTCTTCACAACTCACGTGGAAATGTTTCCCTCCAACTAATAATCTTCACACGTGAGAAATTTTAAATCCCTGTCAAGAGGACTAATTGTTTTTTTTTTTTTATATTACAATTTCAATAATTTCTTGTGAAACCAAACAAGCACTAAAAATAAAATATTGATCAATAAAATGATCTTGCCAATATTACTAGTGTTTTTGTTGTGATGTATATGAGAAAGATTATACCACGTGTACATAAATGTCGACACATTAGTTTATATCCATATAAGTTGACAGATTTTGAGTGTCAATCAAAGTGTACACTTCGTGTGTACAAATAATTTAATCCCTAAAAAAGGACTATGTTAAAGGCAAATATGGGAAAAATGTACATCAGGAATACGTTAAATGCCAATGAGTATCTAGTGAAATAAATTTCATCCATTGCACTACTAGAAAATTAAGAATAAATCAATATCACACTTTTTTTTATCTTTTAATTTTTTCCAAACTCAATAAATAAACTTCAAATTTGTCGAGATGTGTAACTCTATAATTTATTAGTAGAGATGATATAACTTGTAAATATAACAATATATTTTTATGATTATTTAGTATTATGAAAATCAATAATTATTAATGGCAAAATAATGTGATAAGGATATTTCCAAACAAACCCGAATTATATTCTTGATGGCTGATGCGCACTCCACGCGGGGTATATTAGTCATTTAGAATATGCCTATTCGCCACTATATAAACTCCCCCCATTTAATAAAATTTTACAATTACGCAACGGCGCTCACAATCAACCGCCGTTAAGTATTAGGGTTTATATTCTTTTCTCGACGTCTATTGGGAATTCTTGGGGATTCAATATATTTACATTAGGGTT